TAGGGCCCAAGTCCGGGACAGTGTTTTGTAGCATGTGGCATGGCGCTTGGTAACAGAGCCTCAGCTGGCCTGCCTGAGTCTGTTTCCAGCATTCGAGAACCATGGGTCTGAGAAAGAGAATGATGTGCAGTTCAAGATGGCACCTTGGGAAGCCCAGCTGAAGTGTGCAGGCAGTAAATACCTTCAGTACTGACAAGAGGAGATGGACTCTGCCACAGGCACAGAGAGAGCACAAAATAAGCTTAATTGGGATGGAAGAGGAGAGAACATGGGGACTGTTTGCTTTACACTCTAGAATTTGGCTTCTTACCATGATTTGCTCCCCTCAGAATGGTATGTGTGGTGGTGGTGGTGGTGGGTTATTAGAGAATCAAGAAAGAAGGTAGGCTGTCATCTCCAAAGATTTCAGTCCGATACCCACCCCCATGTCTTTTATCTTGGACTCTCTCAGTCCAGCATCTCCCAGCCTTGTGCTCTCTTTGTCCCTTCCCTTTTTAAAAATAGCAGCAGAGGGGGCACCTGGGTGGCTCAGTCAGTTAAGCATCTGACTTTGGCTCAGGTTGTGATCTCACAGTTTTTGGGTTCAAGGCCTGCGTCGGGCTCTCTGTCGGCTCAGGGCCTGCTTTGGATCCTCCGTATCCCTCTCTCCCTGCCCCTCCCCTGCGCAGCAGACAAGTGATCTTTAATTCACCATGCTTTTTCAAATGCCACCGTCTTGTAAGGAAGCCTTCTGACCGTTCTTCACTTTTTGGAAAAGGCAGTGCTGGGGTCCTGGGGAGGCGGGCCGGCTGCTCAGGTGGGTGTTGGAGTGATGCCTTTGGCAGAGGAGTATGAGGAGGACTTCCTGTGTAAGTTTAAAATCAAAACACCAGTGGAGTTCCTTTCTTCATTCATCAGCCTGTGACCAGAGGTCTGGGACCGCGAGGCTCTGTGATCTCTTCTTGGTGACTCCTGGGTGCAGCTGGGCCCTGTTTTGCGATGAAGACAACAGCGCTCCCAGATTGAGGAAGCCTCTGCAGTGTGCGGCTCACTTCTTACTAGGTGGGCCAAGGACCTCATCTCACTGCAGGGACAGTAGCCATTGATTTGTCATCTCTTGCCTTCATGCTGTGGTTGGAAAGCCTGTCCTGGGCACGCGAAACGCCCCGGGTCCCACCTGGAAGGTGCAGGGCCCACGGGCACATGGTCCTCCCAGACGTCAGCCCTGTGGCTGCCCCCGCCTTCCTGACTCTTCCCTGCCGCCCCTGCCGTGACGACACCAGATGTCGGACATGGCTGTAAGGTGGGTCTCCTCAGAGAGGCGGGTCCCATGGACCGAGGAGCCGGCCAGCTGGTCTCCGTGCACCAGCTGGTGAAGAGGTGGGTCGTTGCCGCTGGCAGCAGTGAGGCTTCCACGTGTCATCCGCCGTCCCCATCCATTCCAGTACCCGCTGCAAAGAAGATGACTGATCAATATTTGTTGACTTAGCTGTTGAACGAATTACATTGTCTAAAAATTTAGAAACAACCCAAATAGCCAAATAATGTGAAATTTCACATTCACAGAGAAATTCTACGCAGCCATTAAAAAGAACAAGATTTACCTACAGATACTAATGAGGAAAGGACTCTCATGTTGCTTAAGTAGGAAAAATAAGTTGTAAAACAATAATCCCATTCAGGGGAAAAAACAGTTTTACACACACACACACACACACACACACACACGGCAGACCTGTGTCAGAAACCGCCTAGCAATGCATACACTGGACTGCTGAAGTGCGCTTCTTTCCGAGCTTGACCTACGAAGGTTACCGCTCCTTGTGTGATTCTCTTAATGTTAGGATTTGTTACAAGATCTATTATATTTGAAATCAGAAAGCATAGATTTTTGGTGTTTTTTTTTAATGTTTTTATTTATTTCTAGGAGAGAGAGAGACAGCGTGAGCAGGGGAGGGTCAGAGAGAGAGGGAGTCACAGACTGAAACAGGCTCTAGGCTCTGAGCTAGCAGTCAGCACAGAGCCCGACGCGGGGCTCGAACCCACGAACCGCGAGATCATGACCCAAGCGAAAGTTGGACGCTTAACCAACTAAGCCACCCAGGCACCCCTAGATTTTTGTTTTTTTAAGAAAAGGATTTCAAAGACATCTAAATAGTTGACAGAATTGAAAGTTCAGATTCTAAGATTAAGATTTATGAAAACACTTTAAGTTTTCTAGGAAGAAGGAAAAAACTTTCTGCCAAAGTTCTTTTTCAACAGTGCTTGCCTCCATGAGGTGCCCTCTCCATTTGCCTGGAAGCCACAGAGGGAGAGCCACCCAGTGTCCCATGGCTACGGCACCCCCATCCCACGGTTATCTCTGCACAGTACCTGTGCACCACTTCAAATCGTTCTAAACATTTGCTCTGGAATTACTGTGTAGGCTCTTTTGTAGCACACACTCGGTACTTAAAAGGAAAACTCCCCAGCAACATCTATTGATTCGGCGGTCACGTTAATGCAGAACATTTTCTCCAAGATCTGAGCTCTGGGTAGTATTTTCCTTCTTTCCAGCATATCCACACACCTCTGAGAGGGAGTCAAGTGGCCATGGGCAGAGACTCACCCAACTAGGGCAATAAAGAGAAAAATTAGTCTAATGCATGGTCTTAACAAGAGGGGGAGTGTGAGCATGAAAAATTAATCTCACTAGTCTGTGGCAATCAGATAAAATGAAGTCCCATTTGCTCAACCTTATTAAAAGAGAGAGAGCTCAGGAGGGAGGGAGAAATGGTAAAGGTCGTTAAGGGACTTTTAACATGGAAAGAACCGCCTCAGAGATGGGTAATGTGTTTTCTAGGCTCTGTGGTCTTTAACTAACCCTAATGGTAAAGGTACTCTTTGGATATTGTGATTCATTGAATTATTAAACATTTCAGAAGATACTTGACTCTTGACTACGAACTTTGATGCCTTTATGATGAATTTGCAATCTTTCTGGAGAGGGATCAGAGTTCCCTGTGTCGTTCAGAGATGACCTATCCACTTGCCACAAGAGAACTAGAGAAAGTAAAGATGGGCTCAATACCAGATTTTAATTCTTAGGTTTACCGGGGACATTTGCACCTGTAAAGCCTACCTTCCTACCACGGAAGTGGAACTATTTTACAAACAGAAAGAAATTGAGTCCTAGAACTCTACTGAAAGCCCTATTATAATACAGAAGTATGGAAAATCGCTTTTTGAATTGGGTTTATCCCTCCAGGAGATGACTTTACGCAGCTTTTAGGTTACTCACTGTAAAGGAAAGATTTGATTACTTCTATCTTCTTACTTGGAAGACCTTTTTTTTTTTTTTTTTGGATACCTTAGAATTGTTGACGTTTTTTTCATTTAAAATTGTCAGAATTTTCTCAAACTTATTTTCAACTGCGTGAAAATAAAAATAAAATCTATCTTGTTCACAGTAGTCTTTATGATTCGGAAGGCAGTTTAAATTTCAAAATGGCTTCTTTCCTTTTAGCCTCTTTCAGGTGCTGCTCACACCAGTTCATTAACATTAGTCTTTGTTGTTGTTGTTTAGCTGTGAAGCATTTCCAAAGATTCACTTGTTAGAAATATGTGTTGATGAAGAGATCGTGGTTTTCAAGGTGGAGACCATCAACCTCTCAATACTGAAATAAGAATCTGTATCCTGATCATTGATAAACGTATAGGTTGAGAAGAAGAAGAAGATAGCACATCCTTTTCTCCTGTGTGAGAAGGGAGGAGAATCCAACTACACAATATTAACATTGAAACTTCTGAGTTCAGTACTTGGAACCACATGATCAACAGAACAGAATGCATGTCCAGGGAGGGCGTGTGTGTGTGAGTGGGTGAATGAGGTGGCTTTAGAACTGTGAATTTGGGCAAGGGCTGTGTCTTCACAACACAGTACTGACAACAGTGATTAATGCATAGCAAGCATTTAATGTTAATGAATTGAATTCCTAAGATTTTTTTAGTAAAAGACTTAAATATTCTTTTTTTTCTTAATGTTTTATTTATTTCTGAGAAAAAGAGACAGTGTGAGCAGGGGAGGGCCAGAGAGAGAGGGAGAAGCAGGCTCCAGTCTCTGAGCTGTCAGCACAGAGCTCAACGCGGGGCTTGAACCCCACAAACCGTGAGATCATGACCTGAACCGAAGTCGGATGCCTAACGGACTGAGCCACCCCAGACTCCCCAAGATTTAAATATTCTTTAGAAAGATTCCTTATAAATTCTCCTTTTGTTTTCTTTTTGCTGGAGAGAGCACAGAAATGTTCAAATATAATGAATACATCGTCTAGAGATCAAGGATAGTTTATTGGCCTCTGTACCTTATAGAACAGAGCCTCCTATAACTCGCAAGTGGAGAGCAGCAGAAGAGAGAAATGTTTGGGCATGTCCATTATACCTCAATAAGAAAGGGTTTTTTTTTTTTTGTTTTTTTTTTTAATGTCTGGGAATAAGGCTTTGTGTGTCGGTCTGCAGTTGAGTCTGAAGGAGCCACCGGTCATATAGTGATGAAGTGTCCATCTTCCAGGATCTGCGTACTGTTGTTTTTGCCTTCCGGGGTGTCTCCAGAGAGAGGGAAGAATAAAGAGGACGCAGGCTGGCTCCTGTGCAGACATCAGAGAATCAGAAAGCCGCTTCTCCATCAGAAGCAGTCAGTGACCCTTATTTTCCAGGCTGCTTTTTCCGGCTTCGGAAACTGGGAAACCTCCTATCCCCGTTTGGCGTTTTCTTTTGTGTCCTAGGATTGTACACCTTGGCCTGAAGAATTATTGGATGTTCTTTTATTTTTCTTTTGCATTTCCTTTTGTCATTCTAATAGCCATATGCTTACACTGTCATTACCTGGAAAAGGTGAGGAAATTAAGCGGCAGATCCTCCTCCTTGTAATAGGAGCTGGGGGGGTAGTGGTGGCCCTGCCCTGGACGGGGCTCGGATGCGAAGTGTTGGACGTCGGCCTGCCGTCTGCAACTGCAAACCCACGTCTCTTCCTTCCTTCCCAGATCCTGGTGTACAGCCTGGAGGCAGAGCGCTGCCTCTCGAAGCTGGGTAATGCCCTCGGGGACTTCACCTGCGTCAACCTCAGAGACAGCCCTCCCAACCTCATGGTCAGTGGCAACATGGACAGGAGGTATGTCTGACGGAGGCCTGTGGCCACAGGCGCTCCCGCTGGCTTTGCCCCTCCGCCTCGCCCCTGCGGTTCTCGCTCAGTCCCTCTGCTGCTCGCACCGCACCGCTGCACTCCACAGCCTCGCCCGCCTCGGTCCCACCCCGAGCCTTAAACACCATCCCTGCAAACGCAGAGAACAAAGTCTTGTATTAGGTAATAGTTGGACAGGGCTGGGTCTCTGCCTCATTTCTGAAACACTACGGGAAGGTGGTCTTTCAAGCCATTTGGTGGACACAGTTGGTAGAAGGTCCGGTGAGACCACTTGGAATATCTTTTGTCCCCCCCCGCTGCAAAATTTGTTTGGCATTTAAAAGCTCACTTTCTAATATTAAAAACAATAACCTAAGGGCTGCATCATGTTCAACAGAATAGGGTCGCCTGCCAAGTGATGTCAAGAGTGTATTTCAGAACGCTGTGGTGTCCCTCTGGTGACGGGGGGTGGGGGGCAGGGACTCGATGGGAACAGATTCCAGTTTCTATTTAGCTGATTAGCAGTCTTCTCTCTAAAGCTTTGGCTGAGGGAGTCAGATTTTCCCGGTACAGGGTCCAGTGCCAGCCGCGACGCTCCAGGAAGCATCAGCACGAAAGGATTAAAGTGTCTGAAAAGACCCTCTGAGTCCAAATTTTAGGTCTTTTTCTCTCCCCGTCCCCTCTCCCCCTTGTCTTCTCTCTTCCTTGTCTTTTTTTTTTTTTTCTTTTCTTTTTCTGGCTGCTTCTCTGCTGTGTCTGATCCAGTGCCCCGAAGAGAGGTAGCATGGCTAGAGGCCAGGGTCTGCCGGCGCCCCCTCCCCCGGGCCGGGCCCCAGGCTGCAGGTGGTGGGCTGCTCGGTGGGGGGATCAGACCGCGAGGCGGGCACTCCTGCGTGCCAAGTCCCAGGCCTCTCTCTGCCACACCGGAGCAGCAGCTTGCAAAAATAATTATCGTGTCAAATAATATTTTCCACTGCTGACCTTCACCCCTCTGCTGCCCCCTTCCCTTAGAGCAAAGGGATTGTGTGAGTGTCCTCTGTTGAAAGAAAATCTCTTCTCACGGCTTCCTAAAATGGCTGATCATTTCTGAGCTCGAGAATTGAACTCAAGTGTATGTCCCATTTTTCTATTTAAAAACAAACAAAAAGAAATTAGGCTTGGTAAGTGGCCCCACATGAGGCACAGCAGATGGAACCGATGAGGTTGTAGTTTTACTCCCGTGTTTGAGTGTGTAGACTGAGCTGTACAGAGGCTCCAGGCTTATCTGATAGGATCTCCCTCCAGGGACCAAGCGGCTACTACCTGCTTTCCAGGATAGCAAATGCACGGGGCTCCTGGGGGCATCCAAGTGGAAGGGTTCAGGATTGTAGCTGATGCTTTGGAGTTTGTTTACAGCGGGAGCATTTACTTACATGTTCCGCTACGGCCAGGCTCACGGGACACCGCAGCAGCGTTCCAGAGAAGAGGCGTCTCCCTTCGGCGCACCTTCGCCCATCGGCCGTAGGACGGTTAAAGCCACGTTCCCCTGGCCCTTGTTGGCCGAACAGCTTCCTTGTCAGTCAGGAGACCTGCAGACTCCGCCAGGCTGAACTTCTCCCTGGAGCAGGGCCGCCTGATTTACATCCCCGTCGCCAGCAGAGGGGCTGAGGCCCTGGGTAAAATGGCTCTCCGGTCATTTTCTTTTTTTCCTTTAATTTTTTTAATGTTTATTTTCGAGAGAGCACAAGAGGGGGAGGGGCAGAGAGAGAGACACACACACACACACAGAATCTGAAGCAGGCTCCAGCTGTCCGCATGGAGCCTGGCGCGGAGCTCGAACCCACGAACCTCGAGATCATGACCTGAGCCGAAGTCAGATGCCCAACGACTGAGCCACCCAGGCGCCCCTCACTGGTCATTTTCAAGTGCAGATTTGACCACATTAAGCCTGCTTTATTAGGAAACGAATGTTTTGGTTTTTGTTTTTTGTTGTTTGTTTCTTAATCCGCTGCCTCTGTGGGGTAAAAAGACAAGACTAGTGGTTTGGCGTTCAGGAGGGGTGGTCAGTGTGGCGTTTCACCAGGGCGGCAGGACTGCGTGCCGGCTGTTTGACCGCTGTGGTGCGGAAGAGCCCTGTAAGCAACGTGAATTTGAAACACAGGCGTTAAATAATTATATGTCTGGAAAAAGAAAAGGATTAGGAATCTAGGCTTTCAGATTAGTAGAGGGAAGTCGTGTGTGTGTGTGTGTGTGTGTGTGTGTGTGTGTGTGTGTGTTCTCCAAAGGCTTAAGGAGCTACGAGTAGGATCTCACTAGAAATGCACATCCAGGCTCATACAGCTTATGTTTTATTTCAAAAGTGGGAGTAAGGGGTCAAATGCTATGAAGAACTATATGTACTTGGCTGTCACTTAATGGCCAATACAACTGTAAAACCCTGGAACCTCCTTTTTTAGACTTAAACTTAATCTGCACTGCACTCTCTTCATACTCTGTCAGTAACTTAAGAGTGAAGTGGATTCTTTTTTTTTTTTTAATTTTTTTAATGTTTTATTTATTTCTGAGAGAGAGAGAGAGACAGCATGAACAGGGGCGGGTCAGAGAGAGAGGGAGACACAGAATCCGAAACAGGCTCCAGGCTCTGAGCTAGCTGTCAGCACAGAGCCCAATGCGGGGCTCAAACCCACGAACTGTGAGATCATGACCTGAGCCGAAGTTGGACGCTTAACAAACTGAGCCACCCAGGCGCCCCAAGAGTGAAGTGGATTCTAAAGATACATAAAATGGTCCCAGGTTAGGACAAAAATAATTTTTCATTAACATAAGGAAATCAGCAAGCATGTGGAATTTTGTAAGGAGTTTGGGGGGGCGGGAAGCGAGGGGATGGATAGGCTGAAATTAAAAAGGAAAAAATAGCAGGGCACCTGGGTGGCTCAGTTAAGCAACTGACTTTGGCTCAGGTCATGATCTCTTGGTCCATGGGTTCAAGCCCTGCTTCGGGCTCTGTGTTGACAGCTGGGAGCCTGGAACCTGCTTCGGATTCTCTATCTCCCTCTCCCTCTACCCCTCCCCTGCTAGTGTTCTGTCTCTTTCTCAGAAATAAACATTTGGGGGAAAAAAATAAAAAGGAAAAAGCTCACCCAGCCTGTCACCCTCTCCAGAAGAAACAGGTTAGAGTCTGATAAAGTTGAAGAGAATGATTGGGTGGAAACAGCTACGATCGGATTAGAGAGAGAAGGGCTATAAAGCAGGGGCAGAGAGAGGTGTGGCTCTGCATGAGAGTTTAGCACTGTGGATCAGCGACTTCTGAATGCACACTTCGTCCTTTCCTGGTAACCAAGAAGAGCGAGGAGTAACAGAGTGCCGCCATGCATGCTCCTCCCCACAGCGACAGTCTAGTGCTCCGGGAGTGCTCAACACGAAGCTCTGTATTTATTCTAAGATGCCCTTCTCTTTTTACACGTTCACATCTGTGAAATCGGGACTCGCCCTTTACAAGGACACTGTAAAATTGGCAGCATTCTTAAATGTTAACCAAAGTCACAGTGCTTCTTGCAATCAATGGCGTTTTTAATTAAATGAAAGTATGTATTTGTTCAGTGAAGGCAAAAATGAATTAATGGCCTGGGAATAACATTTACGAGAAGCTTGAATAGATTACTTAGAGGAAGATTGCAGGAAAAGGCCACTTGGTGGTGGTGGTTTTAGTTGAACCTCTGGCGTTCACTGAGCATTTAAATCTGTAAATGTATGTCTTCTACCAAATTTGGGAAGCTTCGGCCATTACTTGTGCAGATGTTTTATTCTGCACTAATCCCCTCTCCTCCTGGGACTCAGTGATGTCAAAGTCACACCTTCCAATACCGTCCATCAGTCGCTGAGGCTGTGTTCATTTTCTTCCCTAAACTTTCTGTTCTTCAGACTGCACGGCTGTCCGTTTGAGGTCAGGTTCACGGCCTCGCTCTGTCATCTCCATGTTCCTACTGAGCCCATCCAGTGAATTTTATTTCAGATATTTTTAGTTCAAAATTTCCACTTAGATCTCTTTCTCTGCTCAGAACATCATTCTTTCTTATCATTTGTACCTTTACTCCTTGGAATATAGTCACAGTAGCTGCTTTTAAGTCACTGATGATGCCCCAAATCTGGGTTTTTGGTTTTTTCCCCATGAGACTGGGTCACATTTTCCTGGTTGTTTTTTGTGTTTTTTAATTTTTTTTGCAGTGGCGGTGGAGGGGGTGGTATGTCAAGTAATTTAGGACTGTTTCCTGGACATTTAGAATGTTACGTTGTGTCTGCTTTGGATCCTATCGTATAACCCTCTGGAGAATGTTAAAATTTTTCTTTTCAATAGGCAGTCGTCCTGGTTAGGCTCCCGCTGGAAGTTCTGTCTTCTGTGGGTGGTGATTCAAGTGTCTGCTCAATTTTCAAAGGTTCTTTTTTTTTTTTTTTTTTTTTTTAATGCGTCTCTGGCTCTGTCCCACACGCATGCTACCCAGGGCTTAGTCTGAGATAGTCTTTTACTTTTCAAAACTAGAATGCAGGTGACCTATAATGCCATTAGTTTCAGGCGTACTCAGCCATTTTATCCATTTATCCATCACCACCAGACCAAGTGCAGTTACCATCTATTTCCAGATGATAGTATTCTAACATTCGGGGCTGTCGTCCTCTTGCTGTACTTTTCATCTCTGTGACTTATTTTATAACCGGAATTCTGTACCCTCTTAGTCTCCTTCACCATTTTACCATTTTGCTCATCCTCCGGCCCCCCTTTCCTCCGGCCGCCACCAGTTTGCTCTCTGGATTTATGAGTCTGTTTCTGGTTTCTGTTTGTTCGTTTGTTTTGTTGTTTAGAGTCCACATCTGTGACCTCATATGGTATTTGTCTTTTTCTCTTTGACTTATTTCAGTTAGTATAATACCTTCTAGGTCCATTCACATTACAGGAGGAACGATTTCATCATTTTGTGGCTGAGTAATAGCCCCTTGTACATGCACACCACAGCTTT